GTCCGGGGCTTTTCGAAGCTTCACTATTTTGTTGAAGTAGCGTGAGAGCATGGGGCAGCCCGAATGGCATGCCTGCCCCCCCCTGCGCGCGCGTGGAGACGCGCCGCCGCGGCGAGCCGCAGCCCATGCGGCGCGGCCCGGCCGTCGCGCCCACGGCTGCGACCGCGCGCCCATCGCTGCGCGGCCGTCGAGGCCGCGGCAGGCCCTGCGGCGCCGGTTGGGGCCCTCTAGTGCTTCGAGCGCCGCGCGAACGCGGCGCGGCGCTCGACGGCAGCGGTCGAAGCCGTGCGCCTAGCGACACGTGGCATGCGTCGCTTCCGCGGAAGCCCTCGTACGAGGCCCGCGCGCCGCGGGCAGCCCGTCGGGCCCGGCGCCTTTGGGCCGGTACCACGCGCCGCGACGATGGGCCCCACGGCAGCGTGAGCGCGGCGCGGCGCGCTGCGACGCGATCCCTGCGCCACGGCGGACGGCTCCCCGGGCGGTCCGGCGGACCTACTGCCGCGCTCGCGAAAGGCGCTTCCGCGCTTCCGAGTTGAAGCTAAGACGCAAATGCCCGCCGCGGCCCGAGGACGGCGTCCCAGCGGCGGGCGCGGAGCGAGCAGTGATCCTTTAGGGGTATGGAAAGGCGCCCTCGCGTTCTTGAGGCGACCGAGGCGACGACCGCGACGCGCGCGACTGCTACGGTGTCGATCGGCCGGAAGCGGGCCGAGCGCTCGCCGCGTTCGCCAGCGACGGCGCCGACGCGACGATGCGACGACGAGCGCTCCTGCGGCCGACGCCTGCTCAGGCGCGCGCACGACCGCGTCGTTCCGGGCGCTGTTCGCGAAGTTCAACTTGAACTGCAGCTCCAACTGCCGGATCATTCCCAGGGAACCATCAAAGCACCTCTCAACACCTCACAAAGCTCATCACTTCTACCTCACTACACCATGTCGACCGTCGCCCAGAACACCACGGAGCTCCCCCCCCTCGACGCCCCGCCCCAGGCCAAGGACCAGGACATCGTCATGGCCGAGGAGGAGGGCGAGGAAGAGGACGCGCACTTCGTCGAATCCTTCGCCAACGTCTCCGAATTGCGCGCGCACGGCATCCAGGCCGCGGACATCGTCAAGCTCACCAAGGCGGGCCTCACGACCGTCGGCCTCGTCGCCTCCGCCTCGACGCGCGAGCTCGCCGCCATCAAGGCGCGCGCGCGGCGTCTCGAGCTCGCGATTCGTTCGACGCTCGCCTTTCACGCGCGCGCGTCGCAGGGCTTCTCGACGGACCGCGTCGCCTTCATCCGCGGCAAGGCGCTCGTCGCGGACCCGACGTCGGCCTCCTTCTCCTTCCGCTCGGGCCTCGAGCTCAAGGCGGAGCGCGAGGCGACGGCCAAGGCGCGGAGTCGGCGTCCCCGAAACGCGCCTACCGCGCGCGCAAGTGAAAATGGCGCCCCCCCGCGTCGCAGATCACGACGGGCTCGGCGGCCTTCGACGCGCTCATCGGCGGCGGCATCGAGATCGGGACGATTACTGAAATCTTCGGCGACGCCGGCTCGGGCAAGACGCAGCTCGCGCTCACGCTCTGCGTCAAGGCCCAGCTCGCCCAGGAGGACGGCGGCGCCGCGGGCCGCGTGCTCTTCATCGACACGGCGCGCGCCCCGCGTCTCTCGGAATCGCCTCGACCGTCGGCCGCGCGGCCGCGCCGCCCGCCCGTGTTCCGGAACCGGAACTCGACCGTCGGCCGCGCGCGCGCCTCCGCACGCGCCGCCTTCGACGCCGCCTCGCAGGACGACACCTTCCGCACGGAGCGCCTCGTCCAGATCGCCGAGGCCTCGGGCGTCGACGCGGACCAGTGCCTCCACAACATCACTTCGGCGCGCGCCGCGAACTTCGAGCAGCAGTGCGAGTGCCTCAAGCACGCCGCGCGCGAGCTCGCGGAGCCAAGCGAGGGCGAGTACCGGCTCGTCGTCGTCGACTGCGTCATGGCGAACCTCCGCGCGGAGTTCGCGGGCCGCGGCGAGCTGTCCGAGCGCCAGCAGACGCTCAACGCGCACCTCCGCGAGCTCAAGAAGTTCGCCCAGGCCTTCAAGGTCGCCGTCGTCGTGACGAACCAGGTCATGGCCGTGCCGGACCAGTTCTCGCTCGGCGGGCCCCAGGTCAAGTCCTGCGGCGGCCCCGTGATGGTCGAGAACCGCGTCCGAACGTTCGTCGTCGCGCCTCGACCCCCGCGCCCCCTCGCAGGCCCACAACACGAACACGAAGATCTTCCTCAAGAAGGCGGGCCGCGGCCAGCGCAAGGCCGTCCTCCAGCACTCGCCCTACATGCCCTACGGCGACTGCCTCTTCTCGATCGCGGGCGGCGGCGTCGTCGACGCGGTCGACGCCTGAGCGCTCTCCCCGCCCAAGCTCCCCGCCGCCGACGCTCTCGTCCGCGCCCCTCCCCTGCACACTTCCTCCGTTCGCGCCCCGCGACCTCGGCGAAGCCGGAGCCGCCCGCGCGCCGCTGTCTAAGCAGCCGTCTCAGTCGCGAAGTCTCGGGGGGGAGATTAGTATCACGCGCCGATTCGCCCCAGTGCGGCGATTCCAGGCCCATAGCCCTTGGCGGCTGACAGGGCGTACAGGCGCTTTGCTTCGCCGAGGTTGCGCTCCACGCCTTCCGCGTTTTCGTAGCAGTAGCCTGCGTTGTATTGCGCCTGGGTGTAGCCTTGATCGGCGGCGAGCTTGCAGTATCGAAAACTTTCCATGTACTGTCCGTCAACAGAAAGCAAGTTCGAGAGATTGCTCTGCGCGAGTGCAAGGCCCCGGTCGGCGACCTCCCGATACATCTTCATCGCCTTCTTTCCGTCGCGCTTGACGCCATTTCCGCCAGTTTCGTACAGAGCGCCAAGCGCCACCATCGCATAAACTTCGCCGAGCTCCGCGGCGCGCAAGTAAAGCTTCGCGGCCTTCTTCGAGGACTTCACGAGGCCGAAGTCACCGTCGCGGTAGAAATCGCCAAGTTGCTTCATCGCTTCAGGTTGCTCGTTCTCCACGTGGCGGCGAAGCCGCGCCACGTCCTCTGCCAAGCTCCTCGGTGGCGGCGTCCGACAGAGAAAACACGGCTCTTCTCGAGTGATTGCGGCTTGACGCACCTTCTGCCCGCACGATCCGCAAATCGTGCGACAGCAACAGTTAACGAACAAGCGCGAACTATTCACGTCCCACTCCTCGAGACAGATCGGGCATCGCGACCCGAGACGCTCCGAATCCGGCTCCGGCTCCGGGTTCGCCTCGCGCCGCGCGCGAGCGGCCTCGTGTTCCGCCGCGATGCGCGCGCGCGCCTCGTCGGCGCGCGACCGCGGCGCGGGGCCGTAGAAGACCTGCTCCGGGGGCGACGGCGGCGCCTCCGCCCGCGCCGCCTCCGCCGCCCGCTCGTCCCGGATCTTCTTGCACGCCTTCCGGTGGCCCCGGTCGCGCCAGTCGATGCGTTGGCAGGTCGTCGAGCAGTAGGCCGTCGTGCCGCACCCTTGGCACGCCTTGGCTTTGTCGGCGCCGCAGATCGTGCACTCGAGGCGGAGCTTTAGCTGTTTGGCCTGGGCCTGCTTACTTCGCACAGACTCCTCGAACTCCGCGCGCTTCACCTCCCAGTCGCGCATTTGGTCGTCGATTCCGTGGGAGCAATTTTACCACTGAAAATTCGCCAAATCGACGCCTCGGAGCACGTCGCTTTCGAGGCTCATCGACCTCGGGGCGTGCCTGAGCCGCGTCCCCTACGCCCTGCACTCTTCCCTTCGCGCCCCACGGCCTCGGCGAAGCCCGAGCCGCCCGCGCGCCGCTGTCTTAGCAGCCGTCTCGCGAATTAAGGCCAAGCACGACTCGCCCGCGCGCGCAAGCGCAGCACCCCAGGCTCGGGCGACGACGCGGCGTAAGATAAATTAGGCTAGACTCGCGCGTCGAGGCCCGCGAGGGCCTCCATAGCTGGCTCGTAGCCCTTGGCAGCGGCGCGCTCGAGCCAGTATCTGGCTTTGCCGAGGTCGACTTCCGTGCCTTCTCCGTACCTGTAACAGCAGGCAAGGTTGTTCTCTCCCTCGGTAAAGCCTTGATCCGCCGAGAGCGCGTAGTACCGGAATGCTTCTTCAAATTTCTTCTCAGAATGAAGTGAACACCCTATTTTGTTTTGCGCGACCGCGTCGCCCCGATCTACAGCCATGCGAAACAGCCGCTCCGCCTTCTTCTTGTCCAGCTTGACGCCTTCCCCATACTGGTACAATTCCCCAAGAAATACCATCGCGTCCACATCTCCGAGCTCCACGGCGCGCTTCCAAATTTTCGCAGCTTTCTTATCGGATTTCACGAGGCCGTACTGACCGCAGCTGTACGCACTTCCCAAAAACGTAATTGCTTCCGGCACCTCGTTCTCCACATGGCGGCGCAGACGCGCGAGGTGCTCCGCATTATTTTTTGCACGCGGCAACCGACAGAGGGGACACGCTTTTCTTTCGATCTTGTCCTTGCACGACTTGCAGATACTCCGGCAGCAGCAGGTGAGAAACACGTTCGCCACATTCTCGTCCCAGTCCCCGAAACAGATCGGGCACCGCGACCCAAACCGCGCCGACGCCGGCTCTGGCTCCGGGTCCGCCTCGCGCCGCGCCCGCGCAGCCTCGTGTTCCGCCGCGATGCGCGCGCGGATCTCGTCGGCGTGCGACCGGGGCGCGGGGCCGTAGAACACGTCCTGCGGCGGCGACGGCGGGGGCGTGGGTGCTTCCGCCCGCGCCGCCGCCGCGGCTTGGATCTTCTTGCAGACTTTCCGGTGGCCCCGGTCGCGCCAGTCGACGCGTTGACAATCCGTCGAACAGTAGGCCGTCGTGCCGCATCCTCGGCACGCCTTGGCTTTGTCGGCGCCGCAGATCGTGCAGGTCTTGAGAGTGTCGAGCTTTTTGCCCCTCGCTCGGGCCATGCGATTCTCATACTCCAACTTCTTCTCCTGCCACGACATGACCTCGGCCGCGCGCGCCTGGGGGCGTCGCCAAGCACGACTCGACCTCGCAAAGGCAAAATCGCTCAAAATCTTACCCCAGGCCTAAGCCCACCACTAGAGCGTCGCGTTCATGTAGTTCTCCATGCCCGCCTCGGCGGCGTCGTCCGCCTTGCACCAGGCGGGCGTCGCGTTCAAGAACGCGAGGCACCAGACCGCGAAGGTCGGCGCGGAGAGGAACGCGGCGACGACGACGCCAAGGCCAAGTCCCGCCACGACATGACTCGGGGCGCGTCCCAGGTCTATCGCCGCTCCTCTCGACTCGACTCTCGCGAGCTCGAAATGGCTCTTCGCTCAAAACTTACCTCCTAGGGCGTGTCGTCGCGCCCGGGCCGGCCGCGGCGGCGGCGCGCGACGCAGACGCCGGCGACCGCGCCGGTAGACGGCGCGCGTCCTTCAGAAAGACCTCAGGGTTGCCGCTTGCAAGCTGTGAATGCCGATGCCCCGGCAGGCCCAGCCCCTTGGTCCGAGGAGGCCGTCTGCGAAGATCAGCCCGGCTCGACCCCCGGGGCGCTGCGGCAGGCCGAGTGCCAGCCGACGGACTGCTACCGATGTGCCTAGCTGCTGCATGAAGCAACTCCTCCTCGCCGCCGCCCTGGCTTTCGCGAGCGCCGACGAGGGCTGGGCCGGTGTCTTCGCGCTCGAGCCCGGCGCGGACTACGCCTGGCTCGCCCAGAAGGTCGATGGCGCCTACGCCGACCCCGGCATGAAGCTCGTCGCCGTGGGCGTCGCCGACGGCACGGTCTCGGCCCTCGAGGGCGTCGCGGCGGAGGCTCGGGCGCTCCTCGAGGGCGACTGCGCCGACGTGGCCTTCGGCGGCGCCGTGGGCGTCGGGGCGTGCTCCGCGCTCGCGTTCGACGAGACGGTCGCGACGACGACGTTCCGGGTCGTCGCGCCGGATGGCGGGCTGCTCGCCTTCTTCGCGGCGCGCGCGCCCACGGACTTCGAGCGCGACTCGCACTACCTCAAGGACGCGCTCGGCGGCGACGTCGAGCCCGCCGCGGAGCTCAACGGGCCCGGGGGCGGCGGCGGCGGCGGCGGCCAAAACCTGCCGCGCGCGTGGCGGAACTCGATGCTCGCGACGGCGCTCGTCCTCCTCTGCACCTTCGTCGGCATCCTCGGCCGCCTGCCCTTCAAGAACGTCCGCGAGCTCCGCGCGGACGCGGTCATCGCCTACTCGTCCGCGCTCGCCGCTGGCGCGCTCCTCGGCTGCGCGGCGCGCGCCCGCGCCCGACGCGCCGCGCGCGGCGAGAGGCCGGCTCCGAGCCGCGGGCGCGCGCCGACGACCGATCGCTCGCCCGCAGGTCTTCCTCATGCTCGTCGAGAGCACGCACCTCATCGCGGCCCGCTACGCCGAGGAGACGCAGTCGACCTGGCGCTTCGGGATCATGGTCCTCGCGGGCTACGCCGTCGGGCTCGTCGTGAGCGTCGCGTTCCCACACGACGCGGGCGGCGCGGGCGCGTGGCTCGCGGGCCCCGGCTCCTTCGACAAGCTCGGCGACGCGTCCGCCGAGGAGCGGCGCGTCGACTGCGCGTTCTGCTTCAACGTCTTCGCCGGCGACTTCCTCCACAACTTCGTCGACGGCATCTTCGTCGCCGGCGCGTTCCTCGACTGCTCCGCGGGCCGCGGCTGGGTCGTCGCCGGCGCGACGATCTACCACGAGCTCGTCCAGGAGTTCGCCGACTTCTTCCTCCTCATCGGGCCCGGCGGGCTGTCGGTGCTCGCGGCGTCGGCCGTCAACTTCGCGTCCGGCGTCTCCGTGATGCTCGGCGCCGCGATCTACCTCTGGGCGGAGCCGGGCGTCGGGTCCCGCGCGGAATCGACGACTCTTTCGGGCGGTCCCGACCAACGTTCGGAACGCTCGATCTCGGTCAAATTAGAGTCGCTTTGGCTGATGTTTGGACGAGTCGCGTCCCCTCGTCGATCTCCGCGGAGGGCACGAGAGATCGCGTCGGAACCGTCGCGCGCGCGCGCGTCGAAGTCGGGTTTTCGAAGACGCGATGTCCACGCAGGCCGGTTCCCAGGGGCTCATGCTCGCCTTCTCCGCGGGCGTCTACGTCTACATCGCATGCACGGAGGCCGCCGTCCACGCGATCCACAACGCGCGCGAGTTCCCCCCGGCGAAGCGCCTGCTCCTCTTCCTCTGCTTCGCCGCGGGCGCCGTCGGCATCGGCCTCGTGCTCCTCGACCACGAGCACTGCGCGCCCAAGGACGCGGACGACAGCGGCCACGGCCACTAGCGCCCGTAGCGCGACGCGGGGTCCCTGTTGAAGTGTTGCCAGCCTTGTCAACAATGGCTTGTCAAGGTAAACGTAACGGGTAAACGTCTAATGTTGAACCACGTGAGTTAACTCCCAGCGCTAATGTCGCGGATCCCTCCGGCGAAGCATCGTAGCGCCGACGGCCGCCTTTAGTTCGCCCGCCCTACGTCGTCGTCGTCGGGCGCCTCGACGACGAGCTCCGTCGTGCCCGGCGGCGCGCCGCCCTTGTCCGCGGCGAAGGCGAGGTAGTTCGTCGCGCCACTGCCAGTCCTACTAGTAGTACGCCTCCACCCGGCCCTGGCACCCGTCCAGCCGCCCCTCGCAAGTTAGTTCGAAGGCTCTTCGATCATGTCCTCGGTCCACCACGTGCCGGCCTTGCCCGGCTCGAGCGCCTCGCCGGACTTGAGGAGCTTCGCGACGCCGTTCACGTGGAGCGCGCCGAGGATCGCGACGACGTCGCCCCGCTCGCGCGCGGCGGCCTCCGTGATGGACCTCGCGAGGCGCACGTTGCGCTCCTCGAGGAAGGCGACGAGGAGCAGGCGCGAGAACACGATCGGCAGCACGACGTCCATGGCGAAGAGCACCGCCGAGAGCGCGTAGAGCTCCGGCGACGACTCGCCCGCGGCGGCGAGCGCGTCCGCGTTCGTCGCCGCGGCCTCGAGCGTCGACCCGCCGACGGTGAGGAGCGTCGCGAGCGCGAAGAAGGGCGCGGGCGCCTTCACCGCCGCGGCCGCCGGGTAGCGCAGGAACGACCCGGCGAGCCCGAGGAGGAGGCCCGGCCGGAGGAAGTCCTCGAAGCCGAGCGCCTCGCCGCCGAGGTCGCTCACGTCGAACGCGAGGCCCGCGCCGCGCTTCAGGTCGTCGAAGATGCGCCGCCAGCCGTCGGGCGGCGACAGCAGGTCCCGCAAACTCTCGGCGAAGAGCTCGCGCAGCCGCGGCGTGAACTCCTTGACGTCGACGTCCCCCAGCGACACGGGCAGGCCGCGCTCCGCGGCGACGTCCGCGGCCGCGAGCATCTCCGACGGCAGCAGGTAGCGCCGCGAAAAGGACCCGACGGGCGACGTCTGCTGCGTCTTCCGCCAGCGCGACTCGCAGCTCTCGACGACGACGGCGCCGAGCGCCGGCGCCTCGCGCACGCAGTCCGCCGCGAGGGCGATGGACGCCGGGTTGTAGTGCATGCACCCGACCAGCGTCACCTCGCGCTGCGTGCGCGCGTCGCGGCAGACGACGGTCTGCGGCCGGCGCAGCGCGAAGGCTAGCGCGGGCAGGAGGAGGAGTAGCACGTTGCGCATGGTGCTGGAGTGGCAGCTTGCGGACGAGCGCTGTGGGTCGAGTGCCAACGCAGGACGGCGCCGGTGGAGGAGAGCGGCACGAGCTTTGCGGCAGCGCTGCGACCTCTCTGCATCACGAAGTCAATTCCAGCTCGAGCGCCAACGCGACGGAGGCTCGCGCTTTGCTGCCCACCCACGCCACCCATCGATCGAGTGCCCACCGATTCTGGTGGACGGCTCGCGGAACGCGACCATGATGGCAATGCCGCCCGGTGCGTCCACGCGAAACACACGAGCCGCACCCGCCGCAGCGAACACCCGCGCGCGCAGGCATGGATCCCGCGATGATGATGGGCGGCGGCCTCGGCGGCATGGGCATGCCCGGCATGGGCGGCCCCGGGTCCGACGAGCCCGCGCGGAAGGACGTCCTGGGCGACGGCACGGTCTTCAAGGAGGTCCTCGAGGCCGGCGAGCAGTACGGCCGCCAGCCCGAACCCGGCGACGAGTGCGTCGTGTCGTGGACGGAGGTCGCGGGCGAGGAGCCGCCGGCGCTGCTCCTCGAGGGCGACGCCCTCGGCGACGCCGTGCTCTCGGCGGCGACGAAGGCCATCGTCGTCGTCGGCGAGCCCGGCGTCTCCGCGGCGTGCCCCGCGGGCGTCGCCGCCGCGCTCAAGGCCATGGTCTCGGGCGAGGTCGCCAAAATCCAGCTCCGCGACGGCGCGGGCTCGTCGACCGACGGCGCGTGGAGCTGCTGCCGCGTCGAGCTCGTGTCCTTCTGGCCCGCGGAGGACGTGAGCGAGGCGCGCGACGGGTCCGCGCGGAAGAAGTCCGTGTCCAAGAGCGACGACTGGCAGAACGTCAACGGCCTCGACGTCGTCGACGTCGACTTCGAGGAGGGCGTCTCCTGGCTCGCGTCCCAGCCGACGCCGGCGGGCGAGCGGCCGAAGCTCACCTACAGCGGCCGCGCGCGCGACCTCAAGCCCACGGGCCTCGCGCTCGCGGCGTGCGCGGCGCCGCGCGGCGAGACGAGTCTGGCCAAGGTCGCGGACGGCCGCGTCTTCCGGCTGACGGTCACGAGCTGCACGCGCGTCGTCGACTGCAGCGCGGCCCAGGACGAGTCGCTCCTCAAGACGGAGCTCGACGCCGGCGCGGACTGGGAGCGACCCGGCGCGCGGTGCGACGCGGCCGTGACGGTCGCGCGCGCGTGCTACGCAAAGGACGGCGCGGACGTCGAGGCCGTCGCGTCGAACCCGGCCGTCGCGCCGGCGCCCGGCGACGGCGATCCGAAACCGCCCATGGTCGACGCGGCGACCTTCGACGAGCCCGTGCGCCTCGCGCTGCGGAAGATGAAGCGGAACGAGAGAGCGCGCGTCGTGGCGAGCCCGCGCGCGAGCGACGGCGCCGCGCTGACCTACGAGCTCGTGCTCCACGGCTGGCGCGACGACGCCGACGTCGACGACGGCGTGCGGAAGAAGGTGCTCGACGCCGCGCCCGAGGGCCACGAGCGCCGGAAGCCCGAGGCGCTCGACGTCGTCACCGTCTCGTTCGGAAGCGTGGAGCTCGAGGCCGCGGGCGGCTTCGAGGCCGTCGACGATGTAACCCTGCCGACGACGACCTGGAAGCTCGACGAGGACGACGCGACGTGCCCCGGCCTCGAGGCGGCCTGCGAGGCCATGAAAATCGGCGAGACGGCGCTCGTGACCGTCGCCGCGGCCCGCGGCTTCGCCGAGCCCCGCGCGCCGGCCTTTGCGCGCCTCGCCGGTTGGGCTTCCGCGTGGCGTGCACGCTCGAAGCTGTCGACCGCTTCCCGCCGAGCTACGAGCTCAAGGCGCCCGCGAAGATCGACCGCGGCGAGGCGTTGAAGGCGCGCGGGAACGCGTGGTTCGCGAACAAAACCAACCTGCCGCGCGCGATCCGCCGCTACGGCGGCGCCATCGACTGCTGCACGTCGGCCTACGAGAAGGATTTGGACGCCGACGGCCTCAAGCGGCGCCTCGCGCTCCTCGAGACGGGCCGCGCGAACCGCGCGGCCGCGCACCTCGCGGCGGGCGACTTCGCCAAGGGCAAGGCCGACTGCGACGCCGTGCTCAAGGAGAACCCGGCCCACGCCAAGGCCCACTTCCGCCGGGGCCAGTGCTGCCTCAGGCTCGACGACTGGGCCGAGGCGCGGAAGTCGTTCCGCTTCTGCCTCGCGCTCGACGGCGGCAACAAGGACGCGGCGCGCGGCCTCCGGACCATCGCGGACCTCAAGAGGAAGCAGGACGCCAAGGACCGCGAGACCTTCGCCCTCGACAAGCTCGCCAAGGCCCTCCACGACGACGCCGCGCCCGCGGCCGCGCCCGCGGCCGCCGCGGCCGCCGCCGCGGACCCCGGCCGGACGCGCGCGCTCGTCGCGCTCGCCGTCGCGGGCGCGCTCGCCGCCGCCGCGGTCGCCTGGGCCAAGCTCGCCGCCTAGGCCGCGCGGGTGGAACCGCTTACGCGCGGGCGGGGAGGTGTGTGGGGGGGTTTCGGGGCTCGTATGAACATTCGATTAGCGTCGCCGCCCCCGCTACTTCGCCGCCGCGCGCGTCATCCGGCCGTGGCGATGGGCTCGTCGTCGACGTCGTTGCAGAGGACGTAGCGGACGATGCCGTGGGACGTCTTGAGGTCCTCGAGCGCCGCGTTGACGTCGTCCATGGGCCGCGTCTCGATGGTGGCGCCGATGCCGTGGTGCGCGCAGAAGTCGAGCATGTCGCGCATGTCCTTGCGGCCGCCCGTGTTCGACGTCGTGATGTTGTTCATCGTGAAGCCCAGCGTGAAGACGTCGGCCGTGATGGGCGGGCACATGCCGACGAAGCAGGCCGTGCCCCGGGGCCGCAGCAGCGCGAAGAACTTGCCGACGTCGGGCAGCTCGCGCGTCGTCGCGAGCGTCACCAACAGAAAGTCGAGCGACGCCGCGAACTTGGCGAGGTCCTCGGCCGACGAGTGGTCGCAGTAGTCCGTCGCGCCGAGGGCCAGCGCCTTGTCCTTCTTCGCGCCCGACGACGACACGGCGACGACGCGGCGGAAGCCCATCTTGCCCGCGAACGTCAGCGCCATGGAACCGAGGCCGCCGAGCCCGAGGATGCCGACGCGGTCGTCGCGCTTCGCCTGCTGGCGCAGGGGCGTCCACACGGTCTGGCCGCCGCAGAGCAGGGGCGCCGTCTTCGCCGAGTCGAGGGAGTCGGGCAGCGCGTAGGCGAACCTGGCGTCCGCGAGCCGGACGTAGTCCGCGAAGCCCCCGACCTGGCCCTCGCAGCACGTGCACGACACCGCGGGGCAGAGCTGCTCGTCGCCGTTGAGGCACCACTCGCAGTCGTGGCAGGCGCCGTTCTGCCAGCCGACGCCCACGCGCTGGCCGACCGCGAGGTGGCCGACGCCCGCGCCGACGCCCGTGACCTTGCCGACGATCTCGTGGCCGCAGACCTGCTTCTTCGGCCACGCGCCAAAGTCCGCGTAGCCGCCGTCGGCCTCGAGGAGGTGCACGTCGCTGCCGCAGATCGCGCAGTGCGTCACCTTGACCTCGACGCCGTTGTGGCCCAAAGGCGCGAGCTCCACGGCGGTCTTGTGCAGCTTCTCCTTGGGCGCCGACGCGGCCCAGCACTGCGCCGTGCGCGGCGTCGCCATGAGTGTCGCGGAGGGCGCGGGCCCGAGAGACAGGACTGCTTGTACGGGACGACGACGTCCACAGGGCCTCGACTGGATTCCTCAATTTCGCTGCAAGCCTGCTTGCAACCTGAACGGCAACATCGACAAAAGTCGAAACGCCATGACGCTGGCAAGTTCGCCGTAATCGGCGGCAAGTTTCCTCGCCGCGACAACCGCACACGCGGCGAGTCGCGCCCCCTTACTTCTTGCCGCGGCCCGCGGCGGCCTTCTTCTTCGGCGCGGGCTTGCGCTTCTTCTTGGGCACCTCGACGACGTCGCTGCCCGAGTCGGAGTCGGACCCGTCGCCCGGCCGGGGGCTCCGCTTGCGGCCCTTGCGGTTGACGTCGACGTCGCCCGCGTAGGTGCCGTAGCCCGCGTCGTAGGCGCCGTCGATGATCGCGTCGTCGCGCGTCGCGTCGCGCGTGTGCTTGAGGGTCACGTACTCGGAGACGATGGACTCGACCTTGGCCTCGCCGCCGGCGACGTTGAGCACGAGCATGGTCGGGCAGGGCCGGATCGTCGCGGCGTACTCCTGGCCCCGGAGGTCGAGGCGGAACGCGCGCTTGCCGTCGACCTTCGGGAAGGACGCGCGGCCGATGGCGCCCGTGTCGACGCCGAAGCCGCCCGCGCGGCCGTCGAGCTCGACGAGGAGCGTCGCCTTGCCCTCGCGGGCCGCGCCGGACCCGAACGACAGCGGCAGGCGCCCGGCGAAGGTCGCCTCGGGCTTCTTCTTCGGCGCCTTGGGCGCGTCGACCTGCGAGTCGTCCTGCGTCAGGTCCACGAGCTCCCCGGCGTCGGCCTGGGACCCCTCGCCGAGCTGCGAGCCGTCGTCGCCGAGCTGCGAGCCGTCGTCGCCGAGCTGCGACCCGTCGTCGCCGAGCTGCGACCCGTCGTCGCCGAGCTGCGAGCCGCCGGCCTGCGACGCGTCGTCCTGCGAGTCCATGCGCTCGCTTCTACCGCCGACGGGCCGCGTCGGGTGCGCGCGCGCAGGCCGATGATACGCGCGCAGAGTGCTCTCAGTTTGAGCAGCTCGCGCCGAAAGAGCCGGGACGCTGAAGGCTGGTTGAACCGCGTTTTGCATGACGATGGGGGGCAGCCTGCGAAGCGCCGCCGCACTGGCGCTCGCCTGGGCAATCCCCGCCCGAGCCGACGACGAGCGCCCCCACATCGTCCTCGCCGTCGTCGACGACCTCGGCTGGAGCGACGTCGGGTACCAGGGCAGCGGCGACCTCGGCGGCGCGACGCCCCAGCTCGACGCCCTCGCCGCCGAGGGCGTGGCCTTCGAGGCGCTCTACGGCGCGGCGGAGTGCACGCCGTCGCGGGCCATGCTGCTCACGGGCCGGCACGCCGTCGCCCTCGGCCTCCAGGACAGCGTCATCCACGGCACGGAGCCGCGGGGCCTCGACCTGACCGTCGCGACGCTCGCGGACAAGCTCGGGGCCCGGGGCTACGGCACGTCGGCCGTCGGCAAGTGGCACCTGGGCTTCCACACGCCCAAGTACCTGCCGCGGCGGCGGGGCTTCGACAGTTTCTTCGGCATCTTGACGGGCGGCGGCGACCATTTCGCGCACTCGACGACGGAGTCGTTCTCCGTCCGCGGCAACCTGACGTCGTCGACGACCCACGGCGCCACGGGGCGGAATTTGTGGGAGGACGACGGGCCCCTGGGCGCCGACGCCTTCGCCGGCTACGACGGCGTCCACACGACGGCGCTCTACGCCGAGCGGGCGCTGAAGATCGTCGACGCCAAGTTCTCTTCGAAGGACCCCCACTTCCTCTACCTCGCCTACCAGGCCGTCCACGGCCCCGTCCAGGCCGACGCGGCGACCTACGCCGCGGGCAGCGTCTGCGGCGGCGTCGCGAAGCGCGCCGCGGCCGCGCGGCAGCGCCTCGCGGCCGGCGGCGACCGGTCGGGACCGGACGCGTACGCCGCCGACGGCGACGTGGCCTGGAAGAGCCGGCCGCGGCTCTGCGGCATGGTCACCGCCGTCGACGCGTCCCTCGGCGAGCTGCGGAGCGCCCTGGACCGCACCGGCTGGGCGCGGTCGCTCCTCTGGGTCACGTCCGACAACGGCGGCGTCAAGCGGCACGGGTCGTCGAACTGGCCGCTCCGGGGCCAGAAGGGCGAGTACTGGGAGGGCGGCGTCCGCCTCGCGTCCGTCCTCGCCGGCGGCTGGCTCGAGGCGCGGGGCCTCGTCGGGGGCTCGACGCACCGCGCGCTCGCGCACCTCCTCGACGTCCACGCGACGCTCGTCGCGGCGTCCGGCGGCGCCGCGGAGATCTCCGCGGCGCTCGACGCGGGCGCGAACCTGCTGCCGGAGCTCCTCGAGGGCGCGCCGCCGGCGCGGGACGTGCTGCTCCTGAACCGCAACAGCGCCACGTGGGGCGGCGGCGGCGCGCTTCTAGCCGACGGCGCCGCGCTGCTCGACGGCTGCGGCGGCGACGCGACGGAGGACGACGCGGGCGACGCGCGCTGCGGCGGCCGCTTCAAGCTCGTCGTGGAGAACTCCGTGGGCGACGCCGTGCTCTACCGCGCGGGCCGCGCCTACCTCGCGGCGGCGGATCTCGCGGCCGCGGACTTCGACGCGGCGCTCGACGGCCGCCGGTCCGCGCTCTTCCCCGAGCCAATCTACCACCTCTTCGACGTCGACGCCGACCCGTCGGAGACCTCGGACCTCCACAACGCGTCGCGGGCGGGGGCCTTCGACGACGTCCTCGCGCGGCTCGTCGCCATCTGGGACGGCGTCGACGCCGCGGGCACGACGGACGTGTGGCTCGACGACGGGCCCCTCGCGTCGCCGGACTTCTTCGGCGGCGCCTGGATGCCCTGGCGCGACGAGAACGACCTCCCCTACGCGACCTACGCCATCCTCCCGGGGCGGTAATGTCGCGTAGTGGATCGAGGCCCAGCGCGGGACGGGCGAGCTACGTTGGCGTCGAGCTGCAACTTTGGCGTCACTCTCACACGATGCGTCGACTCGCGGCGCGGCGGTCGTGGGTCCCCGACGCGCAGCCCTCTTTGGGACTACCAGATGCGGCGCTGGTCCGAGTCAGTGCCCAGTGCTAGCGCGCATTTGCAACGCGATGTCTTTCCTTTTTTCGAGGACTACACATTCGACCAAGCACAAGCGCTTTAGCTCGCGCTCATGCTGCGCCTCGTGCCCGCCCGGTCGATGCTGTTGTCGGTCGAGATGGGCAGCCAACTCTGCACGCTAAGTCCGCGCGCCCCGGTCCCCAACATGTGCTCAACATCAAGAATCCTTAAGTTGCGCACACCTTGGGGTCGCAGGTACTTAGCCGAATCGCAACGACCTGTGACGGCGGCAGCCGACGACGACGTCCCCGTCCCCCCGCGCCGAGTCCTCGTTCTTCGGGGCCGGGATGGGCATCACGCATGTGTCATCGGGTCTCCATCCCAGATCCGTCCTTCGGGCTGGAAGGGGGCGGCTGCCCGCCGCCTCATGGGGCGGCAGTCGCTGGACGGGCGCCGGGGCCGAGGAGGCGGGCATGATCCGCGTCCGCGCCCCGCGGCGGCGCACGACCGAGGCGCCGCCGCCGTGCTTTTGCGACGACGGCGGCGCGACCGACCCCCGTCGTGACGTCGGCGCCGTGACACCCGACGCCCGACGCCCGACGGCGGCGACCGCGGAGCCGCCGTGAGCTGCTGCTGCGCCCTCGCGACGGCGCCGACGACGCCGACGAGGCGCGGTACGAGGCGGAGATTCTAGATGCACGGTGGCGGGCCCGTCATGCGGGTCCAAAACTTGGCAGTTTGGGCTGTTGTGTTTTTGCCACAAGACCCACTGCAAAAGGAGGGCTCGCATTTCAAATCGCGATCTCTTTGAGCGGCGTCGGTGTGACGACAACTGCACGAAACTCGTCGGGTACGTCGCGCGCGCCCTCCCCCAACCCCCTGCGCGCCCCCCTGGGTGTTTTGTTGAGAGGCATGAGCTTTTTGTTGTAGGCTTCAGCTGGTCAGCGCATCTTAGCGCAAACGACCAAATGGCCGACAAGGTGCGCGCCGACCCCTGCGCCTCCGCCCCGCGCGCCTTCCCCGACCTCCCCGCGCGCCTTCCCCGACCCCCGATCCCTTAGGTCACGCACGGCGGCGCGGCGGGCGACGACCTGTCGTTCGAGCGCCTGCCACCGCAGCCACTCGGCGAGGCCAACCGGGACCCTGCCGCCCGCGTGGCCGGGCTCGACGCCGCGGACCGCGAGCGCGACGGCGCCGCGGCGAAGCGCCAGTACGTCGACGGAGCGAAGCGCCAGTACGTCGACGGCGCGAAGCACCAGTGCGTCGACGGCGGCGCGCGGGCCGTCGAGGACGCCATGGCCGTCGAAGAGCCCGTGTCCGTCGTCGGCGCCGACGCCGCCACGCCCGAGGCCGAGGCCGCGCCGCGGCAGCGGCAGAGCGTGGCCCACGCGACGGCGTCCTTCGCGAGGCTAGCGCCGGCGTCACGGCGTCACGGCGGCGTGAGCGTGACGGCGTTCCACGCGCGGCCGCCGCCGCGCCTCGAGGCGCCGCCGCCGGGCGTCTGGGCCCCGGCGCCGCTGCCCGCCGCGACCGCGCCGCCGCCGGCGCCGGCGCCGCTCCTCCCCGAGCCCGCCGCGGAGCAGCTGCCGCCGGCCGTCGGCTCGCGCGTCCGCGTGCACACGTTCCCCGAGAACGACGACCGGCGGCCGCCGGCCTGGTTCCCGGCGACGGTCGTG